GGGGGGGGGGGGGGGGGGGATACAGATGCAGCTTCTCTGAAACTGTGATGCTCTCTAGCTAGTATCATCTCCAGATTTCATGGCTGGGCTGTTCCACTGCCATAGTTAATGAAATATTAAATGAGAGAGGAGTTAGGCACCCTCGGCCACCACACCCAGCCCAGTATCGCCCCTCACCCTGACACCTTGCAGCCCCCCTGCTATAGCAGAGGCATTTCACACAGTGACACCAATCAGCACCCACCTCTGCGCTGTGCCCTGGCACTTCGCACTTGCGCCCCCAGGATGATTAAGACCAGGCAGAGCAGGGCCCCCAGGATAATGCAGACGACCACAGGTACCATGACTCTCCAACTGTCAATTAGAGGGTGGTGCGGGGAAGCTGGATGGAAATGAGCATGCAAAAGGGAGAGATTATTCTCCCCAGTCACTCACTGCATGGCCCAGGACAGGAGGGTAATGGGCTGGGACACAGTCTGTGCTCCATGGGGGCAGCTCACAGGGGACTGTTTAAATCATGGGCCCTGCCCTGTCAGCTGGAGCCAGAGACAGGAATCATCCTGCTCAGCAGGGCCTGCAGCTCCCACCCGGGTGTCATTTGCCCTCAGCTGTCACAGGCCAGGGAAAGGAGCTCCTTCCCTCAGGCTGCAGCTTGCAGCTCCTCCTCTGTGACCCATCCCCAGGGGAATGTAACCCTTGATGGGAGGAGGGGGATGCTTACCTGGAGTATTTGGGTAATCTGTCCTCTCTGTCAGACCTGCAAAGGGAAAGGGAGGAGAGTTAGAGCCTGGAGCGAGGGGGAGGTGACGTGTTTGTTCCCCGGGGGAACCTCACCACTAAGAGTCCCTGGTTGTCCCCAGCTGTCACCTCTGCAAACTCTCTCACAGCAGCACAGGGCCTGTTTGTTAGTGATTTAGGGCCCAAGTCCCTTGTGCTCTGTGCAGCGATGAGGACTCTAGTAACAAACCAGTACACTGGGGTCTGTGATGGATGCAGGGGCTATGTGGGCTGATGTCTGAGACAATCTGACCCCACAAAGGTTCCACCCCACAGCATCCATGATGCTCCTGCACACAGGAGATGGGAGGGCCTGGTCTGTGACCAAATGGATAGCGGGTGGTCTGATCCATCGTCCTTCCTGAAAATTACAGCATGTAACAGAAACATCTCCTGTCACTCACCTGAGCAATTCACGACAGCATCTTCCTTATGACCACAGTTGCTCTCACCCCAGGGCTTGGCAGGACAGTCCCAGAGAGATGACTCTGTCCCTCTGCAGTTCAGCTTCTCCACCCAGATGGGACCAGTCCCCTCAACGAATGCAGCCTCGCCCGGGGCAGATACAGCAGATCCACAGCCCAGTTGTTTACACACAACATTAGCATCTGCCATGTCCCAGGAGTCATCACAAACTGTTCCCCAGGAGCCACGGTACCAAACCTCCACTCTCCCCGAGCATCCGTCCTCTCCTCCCACGACACGTAACTTCTCCTGGTCTGGAAATGCAGAAACCTCACATGTTACTGGGACAGCTGGGAAAGTCCTTAGGGATCAAGAGTGAGACAGTGAGAAGCAGAGATACCTGTGCAGCTTGGAGAGTTTGGGCATTCGGCAAACAGGGTCTGAGTTGGTTTTGCTTTTTTTCCTATGGAGAGAAAAAGCCGAGGTGAATGCACTGGGTTGTGTGTGTGATGTGGGAGTAGAATTTATCTGTATTTTAAACCCCTAATTTCAGCACTGTATGAACTGAAATGTGAACTTTAGGTCATTTCATACCTAATTAATTTGCTCTTCAGCTGTTACTCAGACACACAGGCCGACATGCACATAGACTTGTGGGGGATTCCAGTCTTGACCCAAACTGCACAGCCTGGGCCCATCTCTGATTGTTCATCCCAAAAGGATTAATAACCACAGAGCTGCCTAATGACGGTCTCTAGGGAGAGGCTTTTCTAGGATCTCACACTGCCTTATCACACTGTATAACACTGGTCTCTTTTATAATTAATTGATTAACTTCCATGTTTGTTGTTAATCAGAAAAATGCTTATTCCTATAAAAGACTGTGAAAATATGTTTGTATCTTGTGTTGAGAATTTACATCTGTCTACACTGAGATGTGAACAACAACAAGTTCTATCCTGATTCTTCAATTAATTAAACACATCATGTATATGTGTTTTGCACGCGCATGTGCAGCTAGTTTCAGAATTACCAGTGCAAGAAATATGGGTCTCTTCTGCTCGGTCATCACATGATTTTGGATTCCAGGGCTCTGACAGGCACTGCCAGAGGGAGCTGTGCTGTTCACTGCATACAATATGGTCCAGCCATGTGGGACCAGAACCTGCTCCATATTCAAATTCTCTTTCAATCTGCCCTCCATCTCCACAGTTCAGCTGTTTGCAGACAATTGCTGCGATGACTCTAGACATCCCATTGGAGCAAACACTGCCCCACGTCCCATTGTAGAAAACCTCCAGCCGCCCAGCACAGTCACTGTCGCTCACCAGCCTTAGATCTGTGAATTCTAGAAGGAAATGCACAAAAAGGGAATTTAAATCATCTGATTCTGAAATGAACTGGGGCATGAAGAGTGAAATCCCAGCAATTGCTAACAATCCTGTGCATCATTCTGCAGGAGCAAGTGTCAGAAGCACTCCAAGAATCAGAGACTCTTTTAGAGCCCACAGGCCCCTTAGAAATACAGAGGGCATCTCTTGAAGGCCACCATTTACCAGCAACTCCATACAGATTGTAATAGATTAAGACCAGAGAGGATTGAGACATGGGCAGGCCAGATGCCAATGTCCAGTCAAGGCTGCAGGCATTAGCTGAGAACTGACAATCTTGTAACTGGCGACCACCTCCACATCCATGGAGGTCATCTGTATGTTTGTTTTGCTCGAAACAGGTGTTAGTCTTGTAAGAATGTACTTAGTGTTTAGACTCTATGAAATGGTGGTTAGTTGCTGAAGGCATTAATCTCACTGGTAATGTCTGTGGTCCATGCTACAAGAAAATATGTAAGTTTTGCTTTATAAGTTTGAAAATGTTTTCTCTGAAATTATGAACTCAGGCACAGGAATCATGCCCCCATCCATCCCCAAGGACTATCAAAACCAGATGGGCCATCAAGGATTATCACAATATACAGGATTGGTTAATGGCCTTATCGCACCCAGGGAGCAGTACATGCAGAAGGCCTCATCCCATCGCTTTGAAGGCTGGACGAGGGAAATAAAAATGGTAGATGTGAGGATTGTTCATCTTTTTGGCTGTTTGAATTATGACAGGGCTAGAGACACCAAACTGAAGCCAGAGACCCCAAGGGGTTACCCCTGAGTCAGCGCTGAAGGACATTTGGAACTGACAGATCATTACAACTCTGTCACTCCTAGGATGTAAATGGCAACTCATTTGTGTGTAGATGTTTGCTTGCTTTAACCTATAAATAACCCCTTTATTTCCTTTCCCTAGTTAATAAATGTGTATATAGTTTATTATAGGATTGGCTACAGGCATTGTCTTCAATGTAAGATCTAGGGTACCAACTGATCTGAGGTAAGTGACTGGACTCTTGAGACTGGAAGCAACCTGAATGTGGTGTGATTTGTGGTGTAAGTGACCAATTATCACTAAGTCCAGTTTGTGTGGGTGGCAAGATAGACTGGAGAGTCTAAGGGGACTGTCTGTGACTCCATGGTAAGATTGATATAGTGACCCAGGAGTTCACATATCCCACACTCCAAACCCCTCGGCGGCAACCCCGCCACACATCACCTCTATACTGATGCACATAAGAAAATTCATTCCGCACATGGATGTAAAAAATAGAGGGAACATTGGTTCAGGAGTTCACATCTGTTACTGTCTTGGTGAAACCTAATTAGAGAACACACCACCAGTTCGGGGTGTTGCCTTGTTTCTCACCATCTGCCCTGAGGTGGGCACTCAGAGCCGTGAGCCACTCCAGACAGAGTGACAGGGATCATGAGATCAAATAGTTTGACCTTCTGTAAAACAGCTGCATAGAGCCTAATAACTTGAGTTTGACTTAAGCATCGCTTCCAGAAAGGCATCCGGTCTAGACAGGAAGACTTCAAGAGATGCAGAATGCACCATTTCCCTGGTAGTTTGTTCTGATGGTTAATCACCCTCCCTGTTAAAAACCTGGGCCTTATTTCTGATGTGAATTTGTCTGGTTTCAGCTTCCAGCCATCGACTCTTGTTCTGCCTTCCTCCATTAGATTAAAGAGCCCTTTAGTAAGTGTATGTTCTCCTTGTGATGGAACTTATGCACTGTAATCAAGTTACCTCTTGATCATTTTGATAAACTAAACAGATTCAGCATCTGAAATCTCTCACCCTAAGGCTTTTATTCATCAGATCACTTTTGTGGCTCTTCTCTGCTCCCTCTCCAATTTTTGTGGACATCAGAACTGGACACAGTATTCCAGTATCTGTCTCACCATTGCCATATACAACAGTAAAATTTAGTCCCCATTCCTATTCACTACTCCCCTGTTTATATATCCATGGTTCGCATTAGCCCGTTTTGCCACAACGGCACTGGGACATGGGAGCTCATGTTCAGTTATTTATCCACTAGGATCCACAGTCACTGGTTTCCATGATACAGCCTCCTTCAGATACCTGAGATGCAGCATTCTAACATTAGGGAAATCTTGCAATATCTCCAATACCTCTGGGTGTGAGCCGAGGACTTTCTAATGGTAACCCTGGTAGGTAGTTACACAAGGGAAGGGAGGCAGAGACAGTCAGGGAGAGTATCATTCTCAGCGATCTCCTTAAAATCTGTCCCCTCAATTAAATTGCCTGGTAACCAGTCTAAACAAGAGCATTCACAGAACAGACCTGAGCAAAGAACTCCCGGATCCTCTTTGTGTCTGCAGTTGTGCTGGCCCCAGGCCCTGGAAGGACACGCCCAGAGATTGGACTCATTCCCAAAGCAGTTCACATCATCCAGCCAGATCTGCCCAGATCCTTGCCCATAATGAGCAGAGACAGTTGCATTGATGGCATGTCCACAACCCAGCTGTTTGCAAACGACATTGGAGTCTGACAGATCCCAGGAATCATCACAGACTGTCCCCCAGCTGCCATTGTAATAAATCTCCACTCTCCCAGCACAGGGACCTGTCCCATTCACCAGTCTGATCTGCCGGCTCCCTGCAGGGATAGATCCCAGCTGTTAATATGTATTTTCCTACTCAACAGAGAATGTCTGTGAGATTTAGAAATGAATCACCTGAGCAAACAACACCGACGTCCTCAGCAATTCCTGCCTGGGCTATTTCAGACGTGGAGTTGTCACAGAGAGTCAGACGAGTCTCATTTCCTGCACACTGGACACTTCTCAGCCCCACAGGGCCCGTTCCTCGCTCAGACTTACGGGGGTTATAAGTTTTCTCAGCGACTCCGCACTGGAGCTGCCTGCACACCACGCTGGTATTGGTCATGTCCCACTGATCATCCAGCACTTTGCCCCACACACCACGGAGGGAAATCTCAACTGTCCCATCGCACCGGCTCTCTCCATTCAGCAGTCTGAGTGATTCAGAGTGACCTGGGCTCAGGAGAGATAGGAAATACACTGAATAACACTCCCTGTTATACACGAGAAATAATACAGAGTGTGCATGAAATTATGGACTGTTTCTCAATAAGAAGGTTATCACCCAATGATTGGAGCATGTCACAGTGTTAAATGGAACAACCTCTGTCAGAAGAAACTTTCTCTTTTGAATCTCTAAGTGAAGCTGCTATAAGGATTGTAACACGCTGAGCTTGCCAGCAGGGCTTGCCAGCAGACCCTGTAAATGAGTGAGTGAGGGAATTCCTGAAGTCTCTGTGTGTGGTGGTGGAATGGCTGCTGAGGTCTTAGTCACTTTATCCAGGTTTAAATGCCTGGAAGCCAGTGAATGGTGTCTGCACAAGCACTTAGCAGGTGGGTCATGAGTGATTTAGGCAAGTCTGCCTTGAGGCAGTTTGGCCAGTGGAAGAGCAGGGTTCATGGTGGTCAGCAATGGGTTATTGTTGGTAAATTCCCTTAGTTCCCTCTGATCTTTGCTCAGTAGGTGGCAACTTTCTTGGTTCACCTGGGTCCAGTGCAGGAGCTATTAGTGTGAGACAGTTCCTAGCACTCATGGTTCTGACTGGAGCTGTCCCCTGAAGTGTGGTGTCATCTCTGAGCCCAATGTGAGATTCCAGCTGATCAATTCACACCACACTAAGCAGGTTGTGTGTGGGGCGGGGAAGGAGACATTCTCTGTTGGTGAATATTGTGACTCCCTTAGGATGTGAATCTCAGTGTTTGTGTGTGTCTCAGAATCAATGAGTCCTACAGCAAGCTGGTAAGTTAGGAATTACTCACCGAGTTCAGACCCAGGTGCAGCCAGGAGACACTGACAATGGTAAAAGACAAGTGCAGAGTCAGTGCAGGGCGCACGCACTGTCTGTGTCAGGTACAGTATGTACTAGTATGGCAACCTGATGGGTGCAGTGTGTGTGCACTGGATCCAAACAGCTCAAATATCTTGGTAGTCAAATAACATTTTAAGGCTAAGAGTGAAATCCTGCCCCCCTGAAGGTAATGGTAAAACCTTCATTGACTTCAACGGAGCCAGGAGTTAGCCCTAAGACTGGGCAGGAGAATGCCTGCATGCAGCTAGTGTAGTGTAAGGGAAGAGAGTAGATTTGGGGCTTTCCGAGGAGACTCATGGCTAAAACTGGATACCACACGCACTCAGGAAGGGCAGATGGGATCAGGGCAGATGGCACTCGTAAGGAAGGGACCAGGTGTTTTTACTTAGAAGGGATTCTCCTTCCAGCAGCTAAGAAGAAAGATTAACAAGACTGGGAATTCTCAGCTTGGAAAAGAGATGACTCGGGGGATATGCTAGAGGTCTATAAAATCATGATTGGTGTGGAGAAATCATAGAATCATAGAATATCAGGGTTGGAAGGGACCTCAAGAGGTCATCTAGTCCAACCCCCTGCTCAAAGCAGGACCAATTCCCAACTAAATCATCCCAGCCAGGGCTTTGTCAAGCCGGGCCTTAAAAACCTCCAAGGAAGGAGACTCCTCCACCTCCCTAGGTAACGCATTCCAGTGCTTCACCACCCTCCTAGTAAATAAGTAAGTGTTATTTATTCCTTCTCATAACACAAGAACTAGGGATCACCAATGAAATTAATAGGCAGCAGGTTTAAAACAGACAAAAGCAAGTATTTCTTCACACAATGCACAATCAACCTGTGAAATTCCTTACCATGGGATGTTGTGAAAACCAAGACTATATCAGGAGACTCCACAACCTCCCTAGGTAACGCATTCCAGTGCTTCACCACCCTCCTAGTGAAATAGTGTTTCCTAATA